CAGGCAGGGTGCCTGCTCTGATGCCAATTGAAATTCTGGCTGCAGATACTCAATGTCACGTTCAATGTTATGACACCGTATATGACTTACTATATGACAGTAAATACAAAAGCAATAAAGAACACAGTCAATTGTTTACCCAGTTCAGTGTGCAACAACACCTACTCTGGGGGCTACCAAGCCAGGGAGGAAATCCACTATAAGAGATGTTAATTCAGGAATAAACCAACCAGTTTATCTCCTTCACTTAAGACCTACCCAATGCAATTTCAATCTAAGTACAACTTAAACCTGAGTTCCTACTCACTCCCCCTCAATCACATCAGTGATACATAAAACAATTTGACTAATGAATTGATGAAGACACTCTTCAACAACATACACTTGATTAAGCTTCACAGCTTTTTAATCAAGCAACACAACCACTCTTGCTTCACAGCTTTGAGTGATACACAAACTTAACTTGACTCTGCTTCACAACTTTAGTCAAGAAACATTCAAACACTCTTGCTTCAAAGCTTTGAGTGCTACACAACCCTTACAATTAAAAACCTATTCCAAGTTACTTATCACAATGATAATTGCTTGGAGTACAATAATTAAACCTATACAGTTTACAAATGATCTTCTGATCAAAAAGGGATTACTTGCAAAACAGCAGCTCTGTTGAATATATAGCAGCTGCAACTTCAGTTAGGGTTTCCACAAAAACCTAGGGTTAATTCCGTTTGACCTTAAGACTAGGTCACAGGACTTTATTAACCAGGTTAGGGTTGAGCTAGGTTAACCCTCAGAAAACGCAGAATTCTGTTCTGGAAAGACTGAGTTATTTTCCTGAAAAAACTCAGAATTAACCAACCTGCAAACCTGGTAGTTCAGAACAGGATGTCTTAACATCTGTTATGACATCTGAGGAACCTGTCTACTGATTTAGGAAAATGTGATCATTTTGCAAAATGCTCAGATACACACTTATAAACATCAGTACCTGAATGACAATATTTTTCTGCAAAGGTACCTAATGAATCAGTACAAGCTAAACTAGAATGTTATGACATCAGTCATGACATTCACACATACACTTGGGTTTTACCAAAAATGCAAGCCAATACCTAAACAACTACAACTAATCATATATTCCTCTTCCCCATGGACAATTATAATCTTCCCTTGGACGGGGTACTTGAGCATTTGATGCAAGGTGGAAGTGACAGCTCCGGCATGGTGAATCCAGGGGCATCCCAACATGAAAGAGTAAGAAGGACGGATGTCCATCACGTAGAATGTTGAATTGAACGTCTGGGTACCCACCTTGATCGGGATGTCCACCTCTCCATGGACCATCTTCTTAGATCCATCAAAAGCTCTGACCACTATATTGCTGGGTTTTAGAGTCAGTCCCTCACAATCCAATCTATCCAGGGCTTTCTTCGGCAAGACGTTTAAAGACGACCTAGTATCAACCAATACATGAGCTAGGGTTGTTCCTCTGCACTCCACTGAGACATGTAGTGCATCATTGTGTTTTCTCCCTTTGGATGTCAAGTCAGCATCGGAGAATCCTAGGCCATTGTCAGCTGTTAAACTGACCACACACTCTTGGAATTGATCAGCCGAAGTCTCTTGCGACACGTGCGCTGTCTTCAGAAACTTGACCAAAGCTTTAGCATGTGCCTCAGAGCAAAGCAGCAGGGCTAACATAGAGATTTTGGAGGGGGTCTGTCCCAGTTGTTCTACCACATCATAATCATTTTTCTTAATGATCCTCAGGATTTCTTCCATCTCCCTCTTAGATGTTTCAGGAATGACTAGTGATTGAGCCTTCGTCAGGACGGGCTCCTTTTGAACATTCTTTCCTTTTTTCTCAGCAGCGGAAACAGGGATGGGAATTGTATTGTTTTTGTCAGCGGGTACACTTGTAGGTTCAATCACAAGGGTGATCTTCGGAATGGCCACGGGTCCAAAGACTGCTGTTGGAGGAGCAATCTCTGGAGAAAATATTCTTCCACTACGAGTAACCTTGCTTGTTCCGACAATGTTACTGATATCGGAATCATCCTCTTCGGAGCTTTCTTCTTCAGCAGTCTGTTCAACACTTGACATACATGTCTTAGGCAATAAATAGATCATATAACTTGCAATAATACCATGACATACATTTATGCATGTCAAAGATCAAGTTATGATGAGAAGAGATATGTATCACTTTATCAAGTACTTCTTATGGGCATTTATGCAATTAATTTTCAAGGCTAATGTAGCAATAGTATGACACAAATGTGTTGTGTATCAATGTTGTTCAAGTATTGTTGTGAAATTTTTTTTATAATATTTATTCAAGTGCTTGTTAGGACACTTGTTTTCAGTTGCGCATTGAAGAAAAGCATCGGATGATGACACAAAGTTACTATCCAAACGTAATAAAGACGTCAAGCTAACAACGTAAAACAAACATGTTTTAATTGCTTTTAGTCGATTTAGTGTTCTTCATTGTTGTAGTATAGATAGTGAGGTGAAATTGATTGAACAAATTGAAATTGGACCAGTTTTGAAATTCTTGATCTTCACTTTTCAATTTTATTTATCCAATTTCACCCCGTCTTTTAGTATGTTTATAATAATTGTTTTAATATGTTATTTTTGTGTTTGTCCAAGAGTTTGTGTTATTTCAAAAATTTATGTAGTAATATAGATTTTTTGGTTAAATATGTTTGTGGTCCTTCTAATATTTCATATTTCATTTTTAGTCTTTCAAAAAAATTTCCTCAAAGAATAGTCACCCTAAATTTTTTTACCATACTTTTAATCTCTCCAGCAATTTAACGACGGTTTTTTTCAACTTAACGACAAAATTAACAATGATGTTAGCGATAATTTTAGCAGGAGGGACCATAAATGAAATTTTTTAGAAAAATCATTATTTAAAAAAATATTTATAGAGACTAAAATCGAATTTAAATTATTTATAAAGACAGACAATATATTTAACTTTAATTTTTTAAAGAAAAAATTAAAATAAACCATTAGATTACTGTACAAAATCAAAAAAATATTAAGCTAAAATAAATAATAGTGCTCAGTTATAGTAAAAAAAAGAACAATATTGAATTAAAATGTGTGCTTAGGTAAGCATTTGACAAACATAACTTTCAATATAATTATTGGTTAAATATTAAGTTTAAGTAAAATAAAGTAGTATGTATTTAGATGATTTTTTTTAAGAGTTTAAAGGAGATGTATTGATATAGTAAATTTTTTTTCCACTGTCATCTAATACAAATAAATCGTTTTGTTATATTATATAAATTTCAATCTGATTTATATTTATTTATGATTGTAATTGATTAATCGTGCATTATCCATTTTCTCTTTTTTTTTTAAAACAATTTTAATGCGCGAAATTTAAGTAAGCAACTTATTTAACCACTCGACTATTTCTAAGATCAAAGTAGGGATGAAGAGGACATCTCCCTAAGTTTTTTTTTTTTTTGGACAAAAGTTGTGAATAAATTGTTTATATAAACTATTTATATATGTTAATTCATTTTAAATACCCACACAAGTCTTATATAATTAGAGAAATTAAAATAAAGCTTTTTTGAAATATATCATTATGTCATTAACATAAGAGCAGATATTCACAGCCACATAAGAAGCTACATGACACGTCATTCATATGTGTCTGTAGGGTCTAGGCATTTATTTCCCTTCCAAGTGGGTCTCATGCATTTCCAACGTCACTCCTCTTCTCTCTTTATTTTTTATTTTTGGTTTTCCCTTTTTCTTTATTTTCAATATATAAATAATTAATTTATAACTTGAATCAAACAATTAAAAGTATTTATAGCTATAAGGATGTTCGTTCGGGATCGATTTAGTTCAATTTTAAAATAATATATTGTCTGAATCATAAAAAGTATATGATTGATTTGAATTAAATTTATATATTATTGTGATAAAATTCAAATAGAAAAATAATCTTTTGATTTAAATTAAATTGATCAGATACATAAAAAATAAATATAAAAAATATTTAATTTAAATCAATTAATTTTTCATATTCATATGAAATTTCTATTTTTTATTATATTATAAATTATGAACGGTCAAAAATAACGTTTTATTTTATTTAGTGAATATCTTATATTAATTTTTATTAAAAAATGATAAATTTAAAAGAAAAAAAATTCTTCTAACTGATTTAGTATAATTTACAAATTAAAATTAAGATACCAAATAAATAATTTTGATTTCAACTAATTTTAAGCAAAATGAAACTATTTGACTTGGTTTGAATGAATTTTCAATATGATTCAATTTAATTCAATTCCATGTGATGTGAATAATTTTTATTTTGTCTTACTTAAATTCAAATCTCTAAACAATCATTGTTTTTCACCTTAAATTTAAATAGAAAAGGAGAATTAAAATTCAAATCTATTTCTAACAGATTTGAGTTAGTTTCAAATATTTCTGTCTTGTCTCGCTACGGTCTATTTAAATTTTTTTAAATAAAAATATTTAGTTTTTCTAAAATCAAATTATATAATAATATAAAATAATTTCAAAATTTTTCATACATATATTTTAATTTTTTTAAATAATAAATATAAATTAAATTATTAAAATATTAATTATATATTTAACATTTTAAATTATTAAATAAATAATAATTTACATAAAAAAACTCAAAAGTCAATCAAAATAGATTTTTCTCATTAATTATAGGGCAGGTATGGATGAATAACCGTAAGAATGGGTTTTGTTGTTATGCTCAAGTGAGAATAAAAAAAATAATAATAAATAAAGTTTCTCTCTCCTGAAAAGGTGCATCTTTTCTCTTTCTCTCTCTAAGTAGCTACAATATTAAAAGGGGTCCCTTCCTCGCTTTGCTATCCACTCAACAAAACTCTCATTCATTTCTTCACTTTCTGTTCCGTAAACTCTCTGTTTCATTATTCCTCACAAAAACAGTTAAACCAAAACAACAATCATTCAAAATGGTCGCTTTGGTTTCTCAAGAAAATGTTGTCACATTGGTTTCTCGTACTGGTCGAGAGTTGCAGCGGTATAAAAAAGGTCGTCGTCAAGTTGTTGGGTTTGTCTCTTTCTATTTCTTCAATGATTTTTTCAACTGGGTTTTCGTTAAAATTGTCTTTTTTTCATGGTGGAGTTTTGTTTTGGTTTATCCATTAATGGTGGAATTTTGTTTTTGTTTAGATGTATACCTTACAGATTTAAGATTGGGGAGAAAAAATCTTTGGATGTTTTGGATGAATATGAAGTGCTTGTTATAAGTTCTCAGAATGGAAAAGGGATGTTATTTCCAAAGGTATTACTGATATAATACTATTAATTATTATATTATTTTTATTCATTTTGTTCTATTTTGTTATTTATAATTTTCATTGTTCACCAAACACTAGGGAGGTTGGGAATTAGATGAATCTCAAAAGGAGGCAGCCTTGAGAGAAACTATGGAGGAAGCTGGTGTCAAAGGCATTGTTGAGGTGAGATATTTGCTCAACAAGTTGTTGTAATAATTGGTTTAAATAATGGTTGATTTCCCGTAAAGACTTTTGTGATTTCGGTTTGTACAAGTGTTGCTGAGTACATATGTTGTGACACATATTGTAGTCGACCCAGTGTGACACTGACACGTACTAATGTGAATTAACTACAATTTATTATTTATCATACAGATAGTGAATAACAATATAATATCAACATATTGCATAACTATTTTCTTGTGGCCGTTTTCGCTGTATCAGACTGATTTTTAAAATCTTGGTGTAAATTAACTTTTAATGCCAATTCCTCATTTTTTTTCCTTTTTGAATTTTATATTGGTGCAGGGTAAATTGGGTAAATGGAGTTTCAAGAGTAAAACATATGACACTTTATATGATGGTTACATGTTCCCTTTACTTGTTGAAGAACAAATGGAGTTTTGGCCAGAACAAAACCTTCGTCAAAGAACATGGGTAAGTAGCATAAACAATAAACAAATAATTATGTGGCAATTATTGTTATTATTTAATGTAGAAAATGAGTTTGAAAGATTCAATTTTGGATTATGCAGATGAGCATAAGTGAGGCAAGAGATATTTGTCAACACTGGTGGATGAAAGAGGCTTTGGACAGATTAGTAAACCGTCTTTTGGGTCAAAAACTTGTTCGTGAAAACCAAGTTTTACTTCGTCCTCTAAATTGCATTGGAGATGCCAAATCTGACTTGTTAATAGTGTAATTTTCTCGACGGAGAAGAGTTAGTAGGATGGATCCAATGAATTGAGCCAAATCATATGATAGTATATAATATAAAACTAATAATAATATGAATAATAGAGTTTTAGATCTCTCATTGAAGTTTGCAATTCCCTATAAATATTGTTTTTTTGTTTTGTTTTTGCTAAGAGAAGGAATTTGAACATGACTTTTCTCATCTTATAATGAGAGGTTCTATTTTTAAATGTATTTGTGGGAATTGCAAAACTTGTTGAAATCCATCCATTAGGTGACAAATAGATTGCTTTGCTTTTTTAAGCAATGGATTTGTGCTAATATGTACTAAGAGGGGTGATATGAATATTAGGTTATTTGTATACACTCTATGATATAATGGTCAAGGCTTTTTTTTCACCCAACTTATTGTACTATGTGATGTGATTATCATTTGTGGATTATAAGTTCACTCTTTGTTACTGGAAATGAAGTTTTGTCTAGCATGATCAAAATTGTTAACGCTTCATTCAATGAATACCTAAGAACATGATTTGTTTAGGGATAGGAAAAAGGATACATGTCAAAATCAAGTATACCTTAAAATCATTTTGATTATGTGTAAAGTATTATCTACTGTTAACCATGATTAATCTCTAGACAAATATCTAAAAAAAATATAATTGAAATGAGTTGATCTTCTTATTTTAAGCTCTTGAAGATGGTTTAAGACCACATTCTCCTTTTCTAACGGATCATTGTAAAATGAAAGTTTTACATCTAAATGGCAGATGGACCAATTTTTTCAGTATAATCTAATAGTTTCAAGTATAGCCAGCTATATGTGCAAAAACTTCAATGTAATTCAAACCTTATAAATATAAATTTATGATTGTTCGATGATGCACATTTCTCATGCTTAATAATATTGATTTTGGTGCGGCGAGTGGATCGATAATAAAAACCTAATAAGAGGTGGTTATATTTTGATATTATTGAAATTTTTTGATGTGAGATTCTTAATCCACACTTTTCATGTATAATAATATTAAATTTGGTAATTAAATATAAATAGTGAATGGTTCAATAATGAAAGTCTAATAACAAGTGTCATACTTCAATGTTATTGAAAATGTTATTGAGATTGTTTGATGTAAGAATCTTAACATACAGTTCTCACGCCTAACAATATTGAGTTTGATGCATACATATAAATTAGCGGTGATTCGATAATGAAAACATAATAGCAGGTGGTCATCATATCATTTTAGAATTAAAAATTTGATCTAACTCAATTTTATAAAATTGATTCGTAAATTGATGATTGTTTAAACTTTATAAACACCATATATATCATATCTCTAAACAATATGAGACTAAATTCAACCTTTTAAAATGTTGGACGGTGCAAGAAAAACAACCTAAATACCATTATTAAGATACTAGAGACGTACCTCACTAAAGGAAGTGATGAGTCATGAGGGAAGCAACTACGTTGAGTAAAAAATATTCACATAAATGAGAGAGACACTACATATTCACCAAAAACTTTAAAGATCTATTTGGGAGTTTGGAGAGGAAGGGATAAGAGGTCTTTGAAAAAAGAGAATGATTGAGTGAAAAAAATTGAAAGATTTTAGTTTGAAAAATTTGCTTTTATTCATAACACCAAAAATCTCATAATTTGAGGTAATTTAAAATTTGTATTGAAGTAGAGTTTTGGAGGACTTATATAAAATTTTCAAATATATTTTACGGTTGTTATAGTATTATGAAAATTAAAAATATAGTAATTCTTTTATTATTCTATACAAAATTATTGTTTTAAAAATTGTTAAATATTTTCCTAAAGTCTAAAACTTTAAATATATGAACCCTCTAACTCATAAAGTGTTCAACTTCCACTTTATATGTTTCCCTCAATAGAAACCTCTTTCATTTACAGACACTTATACTACTAGTTACACCCTTACTACGTACATTTCAACGAGATATGTCGTCTGACCACAACTATGTCAAGAAGATTTTCGACACAATAACTCGGTCATTTACTCGAACCATTAGCTCTGATACTACTTATAAGTCATGAGAAAGAGCATTCATATTAGCTTAAAAACAACTACACAAATGAAAAAAACATCACATATTCACCTAAAATTTCAACTTACACCTATATTAAAAAAACGGGAGAATTTTCAACATTTTCTCTTCACTTTAAAAATCCTGTTGATAGTTATTGACTTCTTTATAAGAGGCTACTTGACAAAATCCAAAATTTGTTCCTTTGAATGGTCTTCAACTCTTTTCTCAAGGTTGTCTTCCATATAGCACACTTCTTCATTGCATCTTTATGATCATTTGTTAAGCAATTCAAAATAAGACATAATGCAAACATTCTCCTCCAACATCATCTGACAACAACTCAGAGTCAATCATCCTAGCAAGAAATTGTCTAGGCCTTAGCGACCATTAGATTGGTAAGGTTAGTTTACGAGTAGAACTTGAATCAACATTTCTACCTTGTCATTTTTCACCGACATCTTCAATTGAAGTTGTTTGTTTGAGGTATCCAATGTCATGAATCTTGCTCATTCGTTAAGCATACAAGTGTTTTACAATTTTATCTAGCTTTAAGATGAACATTAACATTAGGCAAGTTGGCAACTACTATAAGTCGTGAGGCTAATAAATCGAGAATGATAACATTTCACCATCATCACTAATAATATACCCCATGGAATAGTAGCCTATAAGTTGGGGTAACACTGACACTAACTTTAATTTTGCCAATATGTGAAGGAATCAAATGAAGCTCTCAACATATCCTAAAAGCCAAATAGAGACATTCATTTCAGTTTCAAGGGCTTGGCTACTTATAAACTAAAAGTGCAAGCTATTTTGCCAATATTTTTTAACATATTTAAAATATCTATTTCAAAAATCTCTTCATCATGAAGAGGATCAATGATAAGTTAAATAACTATTATTAAATATATTAAAAGAATAATATTATTTGTATTTTATACAGTTTATTGTATTTTTTTAAGTAGTACTTATTATTATGTTTTTATGTGTTTTTGGTGTGTTCATACTATTTCTATGTAATAAGGGTGTGTCATACTAGACTAAAGCGAAAAAATCATGAACCGTACAAAAAAGAAGTATTTCCATTCACAAAGTCTGAGGTTAACACGGTTTAACAACGTCAACTGACACGAGTCGTGTTGGTTTAAAGTGCCTCGTCCATATATCAGACCCGGGAACAACACTGACAAACCGTGTTCCCCGACACAAACCATGTTGTTCTCAGACTTCACTTTTATATTTTTCAGAAAACAACACGATTTTATGAATGTTTTGTGATTGTTGGTGTCTACAAAATGTTCCAATTCAAATGCTTAATAATCATAAGTATCATTTACACGAATTTAGGGTCTTGAATGTGATTAGTAACTATAAATAAGCCTAGAATCATTGTTAGTAATCATATTGTTTTAACTTCACATTACTATAGGATTATTTTTCAGCTTTGAAGTTTTTGTTCTAAGTCTTTGTGTGTTATTTTTCTGCAATTTCTTATAAGAGCACTCAAGCATTATTGGAGCTTTTTCTTATAATTCAAAGCATTGTCTTCATCGAGGTTTACTTTTTCCATTGCTACTGCTTTGATTTTATATGTTTGTTATGTCTCTGCTTTATTTAATTGCACTAAATATCATCATAAGTGAGTAGTCTATTAGGGACAAGGAGTCGTGAGAACTATCCCATGATGAAACCTGATTGATTTATTTGTATGAGAATAACGAGAAAAATAAAGAACAATGGTTATTTAGAATCTGAATGCTTAAACAAATCTGTGTCGGTTGCGAAAGCAAATACAACTCAGATATCGATCATGTACTGAAAGGTAATGATTTAGAATCCAAAAACGGATTTCTAAATAACCAAGTTATGGTTCCACTGACAAGGCGTCTCACTCTTGGTTGAGAAAGCCGCATAGCGGTGCTAAAATATGAGTTCTCAAATGAATGATTCAGGCAAGAAAAAGCAGATAAATTATTCATCTGGGAGACTGAACACGCTACGAAAGTAGGTGTTGTACTGATAAGTACAAAAGTGTAGTTATTTTGTATATACTTTTTGTTGCACTTATCGACTATTGGTTGTTAATATCAGTTGAATAACCTAACTTCATGTATAAATATGTTTAGTTTATGTATAATGCGTTTTCTTGTATAAAGTGTATCGTTTGATAGTTTTGTATTTATTTTATAGATATTTGAGCATTGTTGGAGCAATAGAAATAAAGCTCCAAGATGCATTTTTGGATCAATAAAGGAATAAGGTCAAGATTGGAAGCCATTAGAAGTTATGCAGAGAAAGCAATAGAAGTTGCCTTCCTGTCATGGATCGCCGAGCGAAAGGAAGGTGTCGCCGGGAGAAATTTGAAGTCAAATTTCCTTGTTATTTCTGCCATGCGTCGCTGAGAAAAAGGGAGCGTCTCCGGGAGAAAATAAGAAGATTCGCTGGACGATGAATTCTGGTCGCCGGGCGACAGTAGATATTTGTTTCAATTGAGGACGTGACTTTTCCTGGGCCTTATAAATAAGAGCTGTGGCTGGACGACGCTTTTATATCGTCGGGCGATGGTCGCGGATCAGATTTTCTTTATATTTTTTTCTTCATTTGGACAGTTATGGTTTTAAGGGGTGATTTTTGTTCTCCCAACTCCATCAATCTTATTTTTATAGTGGATTAGCTTAGATAACAACAATAGGGCTTTGCTTATGGATGATTGGAGGTAGATTTCTCATTGACCAGCTCTGACAAACCGGAAGATTTGTGGTTTATCTCTTCTCCTCTCTATGTATTTATCTTTTGTTGGGTTTTGTACATGTATTTTACTCTGAACTTATGTATATTTGTCGCCCATGGAATTATATTAAACTTGCTTTATAAATCTTTGTCGATTGTTGTCCTGGATTTTTGCTCTGTGCTAGGGATTTGAGTTGTTATAGATATATACTA